CTCTCCGTCTTGAAACTCAGCTACCTTAAGGTGAACAGCCATGTAGGGAGAAGAACCAAGTCACTCCAATTATCAGCTCTAGCTGAGCTCTTAGCCAATGTCATCACCAGCCATGTAGGTGAGCCCTCTGGGTTTCTGGCTCAATCAGGCTCCTAGAGGACAGGCAGTAGAAGCTACCACCTAGCTAAGCCTGGTGTCCTGAAAGATCATTAAACTGTTATTTCAAGTCACTAAGTTTTGGGTAGTTTATTACACAGCAATAGATAACTAAAGCGGGGCAAACATAACTGGCTGAAAATTTAATATATGACATCAAAAATGTATTCTCATAACTTATTTAATCTGAAATATATTAGTTTCTAGAAATCTTAGCAAAAACAACTAAAAGATATTTCAGATTTGGCTTGTGTAACCTGTTACCTCTGTTACCTCCAGTAACAGGGTACCTCTGAGGTTAATACTGGAGGTATTAGCCTCCAGTAAAAATAATACAGAAAAATAAAGCCTTTCCCATTAAACACATTCACTACTAATAAATTCATAGTACAGATGCCCTCCAACACCAGACATATATCATCTTTCCTCAAAAATGTTTTTCATCCTCATTTCATTTCTACTAATGACCCCCATTCCCCTTACACGGGTTTGAAACATTGGTCAACTTTGATTTTTCTCAAAATACGTAACAATTAGTAGGCATTCAAGATTTTATTTTGGCCAATGCCAAGATTTATTCCCTTCTTCCCAATCTCATTGCTACAGACCTACACAAATAGTTTTGTTTTTGTTTTTTATCTTGCCTTAAATTTTACTGCAGCCTCCTAATTAGTTTCTTTCCTGGGTCTTTGTTGGCTCCAATCCAGCCTATGGTCTCTAAATACTGTTTATAGATTAACCAAATATAATATCACAGGTCAAAACTTGTAAAGTTCACTGCCTCATGAGCTAGTTACCAAGTACTTGAGTTATCTTCCAGCACAGTCCCCATTTTCCCACTCGTCCTCAACTAGGACTGCATCCCTTTTTTAAATTTGCATTCAGCCTTTGTACCTTTGCTCATACTGCTCATTCCTCTTGCAATATAATTCTCAAACATCTACTTAAAACTCCTCTCAAATTCTACTTGCTCTGTGAAGTCTTCCCTAGTTTACTCAAACTTTCTATGAATATTCACGTCATTTCTTACACCCTACCACCTAGAACATTCTGCCTTGTGTAGGTGGATTTGTCTCCCACCCCCACATCCACTAGACTGTAAACTCCTTGAGGGCAGTTCATACATCCAACACATGTACACAGAAGAACAAAAAGTTATACATTTATGAGCCACTATATAAAATGTACAAGTTTAAGTCACTATGTCTCATATATAGGAAGAGGGAAAATGGCACGAGACTTGAGTGTTAACAGAACATCTTACTTTTGATTTATACCATAAAACTGGCAAGGAAAGCAATAAAAGTGGCAGCAGTAGGGATAATCATTCATCTATGATGAAGCGTTCTAATTGGACATCTGAAAAAAAAATCAAAAACTACTTCAAAACAATGATTATAAGTATTAGAACTCTGTAGTAATGGATAATCTGAGACCTCTGGTGCTGGGTAATATAGCACTATGATTTGTTCAAAGTACAAGCAAATTCTGAAGTCAGACCACCTGATTTGAATCTCAGTTCCCTTACCTTTTAACCATGTGGCTATGGACAAGTTACAATACGCTCCAATATTCAATAAGAATTTACTAAAGAATACTATGTTCTAGCCACTGGGGATATAAAAAATAAAACAAAGTTCCTGACCTCAGGACCTTGTCGTCTAGTGGGGAAGGCAAGACAATAAATAAATACAAAAAGTGTAAAAAAAAAAAAAAATGCAGGGGAAGAGATAGAGTGACCAGGAAGGCTATTTAGGTAGAACCTGGGAGAGACTTCTTTGAGGAGTGGCTTTTGAGTAGAAGGGGAACAGAATAAAGGAAAGGAAAAAGCCACATGGACCTCTGGAAAAAAGAACATTCTGGACAGAGGTAGAAGCATGCCTGACATGAACAGGGAACAACAATGATGCCCATGTAGCTGGACTGGCATGAACTAAAAGAGTAGTAAGAGATGAGGAATCCGTTTTTGAATGGCCTTGCAGGCCTTGGTCTATGTAAGACTTTTTCCTAGTGTGACAGGAATCACTTAAAAAAGTCTCTGAGCAGAAAGACATGGTCTAACTTAAGACTTCAAAAGGCTCATCCAAATTGCTGGATAGGGCATTAAGTTTAAGAAGGAAAGCAAGGAGACCCAATTGGGAGCCTACTGCAAAGTAGTCTAGGCAAGAGGATGGAGGGTTGCACTTAGGTAGTAGTGAAGATGAATTTAGAGTATATTTTAAAGGTGGGGAGAACAGTCAGTGTGCTGATGGATAGTATAGGGGGTCATGAACTCTCACTGGACCTACAATCCAATTAACCTGGCTAATTCATACACTGGTGAGAAATACTTAAACAAAGAAAGAAGGTGTTATAGCTCAAGCCTAAATATTAGTTTTATCTGGTGCATTTTGAGAAAAGCACATACTACAAACATAAATGACGTATAACTGGGTAATGGATTTTTTCCCCTCAACAATATTCTTGAATAATCATTTTCTTCTAGCGGTGTATTTAAAACTGCATCATGAACTATGAATAAAAATGTTCAATTTAGGAGTTCCTGGAGGTAAAACTCATGAAAGTGTGAGGGCGTTTCCTACCCCTGGTCCCCCAATGACTAGGTCCTTGAGATTTTCACTCTCAGAATTGCCTCTAAGCACTTTATCAATTATACTTTAGGTTTTCCTACCCTGGCACTGGTTTCCACAGATTTCTATTGTGGTAAGTTGTAATTCTCTGTATTCACCTCTGTTTCTCCAATTTGGGGGTAGCAATTTGCCTTAGGACCTCCACTCCTCTGAAGGATCCAAGAGTTGTTAATTCTTCAGTTTGTTCAGCTTTTTACTTGTTTTTATGATGATGTATTCCATATTCCAAGTTCCTAACATGCCAGACTAGAAACTGGATGTCTAGCACTCATTATCTCTTTCTTCACAAAGGCTTTAAACATCTTTTGTTAGATTGATTGCAAGGTACTTTATAATTTATGTTGTAAATGATGTCTTTTATAAAAATATTTTTCAGCTCTGTGTCAAATTAGATAAACAACTGAATGAATCACCTTGCTAAAGTCTCATACATTCTAATGTTTGTAAATTATCCTGGTTTGTTGTTTTAGTTATTTATTTATTTATTCTGTCTTGGCTTCTTTGTAAACAATCCTATAACCTGTCAATGATTCCACGGAAGGAATGAGAAGTAGGCTGAAAACAGCTCCCCCTTCACCCGACCAAATGTCCACATTCCAACCCCCAAATTTTGTGAGTATGTTCTTTTATATGACAAAACAGACTTTGTAGATACAACTAAATTAAGGATCTTGAGGTTGAGAGATTTTTCCTGAATTATCCAAGTAGGCCCAACATAATATGGGTCCTTATAAGGAGGTGAAGTTTCAGAGTCAGAGAAAGCATTGTGGTGATGGTAACAGAACAAGAAGTGATGATGTGATGATGGAAGCAAAGGTTGGAATGCTGTGCTTCAAAGAAAGAAGTAGAGACCACAAGCCAAGGAACGTAGACAGCCTCTACAAGCCCGAAAAGAAAAGGAAATAAAATCTCCCCTAGAGCTTCCGGAAGGAACACAGCCTGGCCAACACTTTGATTTTAGCCCCACAAAACTAACTTTGGACTTCCAACCTCCAGAACTCAGATAATAAATCTGTGTTGTTTTAAACACCCCCCCCCACAAAAGAGGTTCAATTTTTAAAAGCCTATAATCAACATAATTCAGTTTCAGGATATCTTACTCAAATAAACATATGATTTAGTGTAAGTGGATAAAATGACTTATGAAAGATTGAATCAAAGTGCACTAACTCAGTAACTCTGAGCAAAGCCATATAAGGGGGTTGGTTAATCTTTCTGAGTTCCCCTACCTCCCAGGAATCCTGAAAAGCAACAGCTGCTGGAGAGAGATGACAGAGAGCAGCCAATGGACGTCTCTCTGCCATTGTACTCCCCTTATTTCTTATCTCAACCCTTTCTTATATTTTGTTCGGGCCTGGGAAACTCCTGACCTAAATAAAATGCTCTAGTTTTCATACTCTTCTTCTGGGAAATGTGTTAAGTTTTTGTCTAAAAATAAGTTATTTTTTACTTATTTTTTTAATTAACATATAATGTATTCTTTGTTTAAGGGTTAAAACAAAGAACACTTAGAACAAGGAGGCATGAGATATACTTAAAAATTCAAATTCTTTTTTCTGGCATAAAAAATGTAGACATTGAAAATTAAAGAGGTATACTTTCCATCTTCAAAATACCTCGTTTAAAGGCTAAGAAAATGTTTGCAACGCTATCTTTGTAGAGTTTAACAATTTCTTGTCTTTCTATATCACATTCTAAAATACTGTGTACCTAGCTTTGAATAAATGGTCACAGAACAAGAATTGCTCGGTACTGGGCGCCTGGGTGGCTCGGTTGGTTGAGCGACTGCCTTCGGCTCAGGTCATGATCCTGGAGTCCCGGGATCGAGTCCCGCGTCGGGCTCCCTGCTCAGCAGGGAGTCTGCTTCTCCCTCTGACCCTCCCCCCTCTCATGTGCTCTCTCTCTCAAATAAATAAATAAAATCTTAAAAAAAAAAAAAAAGAATTGCTCGGTACTCTTTGGGCTGCAGTGGGTGGAGGAGCTTAAATTACAACGGCAGCAGCTACTGTGGCAGGTGCACAGCGGAGGGAGCAGTGCAGGGTGGCGGGATGAAAGTCACAGACTCGCAGACACAGGCCTTGGACTTGGGGGGCTGCTGGGCAAGGCTCACGGTGGCATCGTCCCCCCGCGCCGGCGGCAGGGGGCGGGCCAGGTGCTACCGCCCGCCGCTTGCCCAGCGGACGCTGGCTGAGGGCGGGGCGGCCATTCACTCACCTGGTTGGTGACCTGAAATGAAGGCAGAAAACACGATTTAGGGAAAGATCTCTCTAGCTCCAGAGCCCCGATGCCCCGGCTCCTCTCAGGCCAGACTTACCTCGGACTTAGCATCCAGTCGCGGCTCGCTGCAGCCCTCCATAGCAAGCGTCTAGGGCTCGGACCCCCGATTGACCAGGTAGACTGTCCCCCGGCCGCCAACACTTCCGCTTCCTCCTCCCGCCCCCTCGCGGCCTGGCGCACGCAGCGGAAGTGGGGGGAGCGGAAACAAATGTATTTGTGTAACTCACCCTTAGTGTCAATTAAACATCAGTTTCAAGGAGATACTCAGCAACAGGGACATTTCTATGGGGGAAAGGTCCGAAGATTTTGGAGATACCTTGTGAAGGGAAGGACAGATTAATTTAAGGAACCCTTCTGACCTGTAGACGTGGACTCTTCCCGTCTGCCCCGCCCCCGGGGCTTTCTGCGCGCTCGCAAACCGGCTGCCGGACGAGTAATTGATCCCCACCAAATTTAAAAAAACAGCTGGACGACCACACCCTTTCGCCGTCGAAGTCGTTGGACAGGGAGATGGCAATTGGAAATTATATGATTAGCTTTTGTCACTCGGATTTACTTCACTGGCCTAGTTGCGGGTGGGGTGGGGATGCTTTTCTTTATCACGCTGCCACTGACCTACTCCAGCTCTCAACCTGACGTATGGGGATACCTTCTCATCTGGTCTTCCTTCTTTCCCCCTACGCTTCTCACGTCCGTTCTACACAGTAGCTAAAGCGATTTTTTTCTCGCCAACTTTTTATTTTGAAAACTTGAAATTTTTTGGAGAAAAGTTGCAAAAGTGGTTCAATGAACATCCGTTTACCGTTCATCTAGATTCGTCAACTTAATATTTTATCCATTTGCTTTACCTCTAGGTACATACACGGTAATAAGGGCACTTCATCTCTAAATACTTGAGCATATAGCGCCTAAAAACAAAGCAATTAACTAAGTTATCACAGTACTACCACCACGGACTCAGGAGATTTAACATTGACAAAATACTATGATCTAACACGTGGGCCAAATTCAATTTTCTCCAGTGGTCTCAACAATATATTTGACAGAGTGAGCACAAGCAGGGGGAGCTGCAGAGGGAGAGGGAGAAGCAGGCTTCTCGCTGAGTAGGGAGCCCGATGCGGGGCTCGATCCTAGGATCCTGAGATCATGACCTGAGCCGAAAGCAGACGCCCAACAACTGAGCCACCCAGGAGCCTCTCAACAATATTCTTTAAAACTGTTTCCTATCTTACCCACTGCTAGAATCTAATCAAGAACTACCCGTTGAATTTAGTTAGCGTTTCTGCTCAATCTCTTCAAATCTAGAACTGCACTGATGAAGTGTCCTTGGGACTACATTGGTTCTTTACTGGGGGCTCTGGGGGAGGATCTGTTTTCCACTTGTTGCCAGAACTCAGTTCTATGCAGGTCCCACTTACTTGCTGGCTTTTGGATGTGGGGTTTTCTGTGTCTAGAGGACATCAGCATTCCTTGGCTTGTGGCGCTTTTCATCTTCAAAGCCATTAATAGGTCAAGTCCTCCTCAAACTTTGAATCACTCTGACCTCCCCTTCTGCATCATCTCTCCTCTGCTGTCTTCTTTCACCAATCTCTGACTCTAACTTGAGAAAGTTCTGTTCTTAAGGCCTCAAATCATCATATTGAGCATACTCAGATAGTCCAGGATAATCTCTACATCTTAAGGTCCATAATCTTAATTATATCTACAAAATCATTTCAGATTAAGTACCCAGATTAGTACTTGATTGAATAATCAGTGGATGAGACTCTTAGAGGGAGGAGCATCTTTAAAATTCTGCCTACTGCAAACAACCTCATAGCATTGTTGGAGGATTACATTAGTTAATGCATGTAAAACCTCTAGAATTGTGCCTGGCATGTAACACTGGGAATCTGTGACAAAAAGCCACTGACTCAAGGTTATTGGACATAATGAAAAGTGCTAACTGGTTTGGGAACATGGTATTAATCCAGTGATTTATTTCCTATGAAAGAAAGTCTGGAAAGATAGAACACTGTGATGCATCCCACTGGTGTGTCAATGCCATTTGTCAGGGAGTATTTCTCTGAAGCTCTTGGTTGCCAAGAGATTATGCTCCATGGAGGGCTGCATACACACACACGCACACACACACACGCACCTTAATTACATAAAAATGTTCCCAAAAGGTGAAAAGATGACATATATTAAAAAGTTAATTTTTGTGTTTTTCTGTATTTTTCATACATTTAATTGTTTTTAAAGATTTTTAAAATTTATTTATTTGACAGAGAGTGCACAAGCGGCGGTGGGGGAGCAGGAGAGGGAGAAGCAGGCTTCGCACTGAGCAGAGAGCCCCATGTGGGGCTCAATCCCAGGACCCTGGGATTATGTATGACCTGAGCCAAAGGCAGATGCTTAACTCATGTGGGGCTCAATCCCAGGACCCTGGGATTATGTATGACCTGAGCCAAAGGCAGATGCTTAACCAAGCCACACATTCCTTTTAAAACCACTCTTTTTTTAAACATTAGTGTCCCTTTTCAAAAATCTATTGATAAAATTTGGGGAGAGTAAAATATCAGTAGTGTTTAGGCCAATCTCTGCCAATTGTTAATCTTGTTGTTGTGCTCCTGACACTTCACAAGCACATATGATCAACTGTTTATTTTTAAGACCTCCATCTTATTAAAGATCAGAAGTTATGCAAGCTTCAGACTTGGAAAACACAGATTTTACGAATAGAGTAAAAAAATGCTAAAATTAAAGCTGTATAACTTCTGTTTTATTTATATTTATTTTTTGTGATTACATGTAAGTAGGACATATAAATAAGAAAACATTTTTTGGAGCTCTTAAACAAATCTAGCACTGACAGATGTGTAGAGGATGTCTCCAAACTATGGCATGAACTCTGACCTCACAAGAGTTATAGTGTAATGAAGAAAACAAAATTGACACACATGAAGCAAGTAGTACTTCAATCTAAGCTTTTATTTTAGGGCTTTTCTGTATCAAGTGATATTAAGCCAGCTCAAAGTAGCCTGAGCAAAATAACCGAATCATCCTCTCACAGAGGTGGCCTCTGAAATGTAGGGGTGGAGCCAACTGCAGGAATCTCACAGAATTGTGAGATTTTAATAGTAAAAGGGCCCAATCCCTGTTTATCAACTGTGGTCTGACGTTCAGTTTGTCTGTTGGCTTATTCTCTCAGGTTTCTCCGTATGTTGTAGAAGAGGGTACCTGCCCATAGATATATGACCAATAGCATCGCTGAAGTCATAGCCTGTGGCTCATGATCCAAAGGGAAAGAGGAAGCTGCTCTTCCATCTCAATTCTTTTTTTTTTTTTAAAGATTTTATTTATTTTATTTTAGAGAGACAGAACACATGTGCATGTGCATGTGCATGGGGGGGTGCGGGGGCACAGAGGGGTAGGGAGAAGGAGGGGGAAGAATGTCCAGCATGCAGAGCCCCACACTGGGGGGCTTTTTCTTTTATCGAGGGCCTACTATGTGCCAGGCTCCAGTAATATGGAAATGGGTAAAACACAGTTGAAAATCCCTGAAGGAGCTCATTTTTTGGCAACAAATTTACACTAGAATGTGTTAAAGGAAAGCAAATAGTGCTATATGAGCACAGAGGTAGAGCACCTACCCAGGTCTAGGGTGTCATGGGGACATTCAGGAAATAAATGTCTGAGCTGACTCCTAAAGATATAAGATATAGATTAAAGAATATTTAAAAAGCAGCTCCTCTGGAAGAATAAAATTTGTATATTTATAGATGTGTAAGATATTTTGTCTAGCTGGAACCAATTATTGAGAAGGGACTGGTAAGGTGAATTAATTTGATGGATAGATAAGGAAAATGGTGGTGGTGGGGAGAGGGTTTACATTTGGCAAATACATGCACCTACCCTAAATCAGTCCCATTCCACTGTGAATGGCCATGACTACTCAAGGAAAAGTTGGGTAGGGGAAATGCCTTACTGGGCTTCCTCAAAGGGCCCCCTTGGGGAGGGCTGATCACTAGCAGTACTGCCTTAAGAGAGCCCCTCAGAGGAGTCTGCAGCCCCACCCTTGAAGATTAGGGTTGAGTTCTTGGCCATAGTTAAAGGGAACAAAGGAAAAAGGATCATGACTTGAGCCAAAACCAAGAGTCAGAAACTTAACTGACTGGGGCGCCTGAGTGGTTCAGTCATTAAGCATCTGCCTTCGGCTCAGGTCATGATCCCAGGGTCCCCGGATCCAGCCCTACATTGGGCTCCCTGCTCAGTGGGAAGCTTGCTTCTCCCTCTCCCATTACCCCTGCTTGTGTTCCCTCTCTCACTGTCTCTCTCTCTGTCAAATAAATAAATAAAATTAAAAAAAAAAAAAGAAAAGGGCACCTGGGTGGCTCAGTTCGTTAAGCGACTGCCTTTGGCTCAGGTCATGATCCTGGAGTCCCGGGATAGAGTCCCACATCGGGCTCCCTGCTCAGCGAGGAGCCTGCTTCTCCCTCTAACCCTCTCCCCTCTCATGTACTCTCTCTCTCTCTCATTCTCACTCTCTCAAAATAAATAAATAAATCTTTAAAAAAAATAAAAGAAAAGAAAAAGAAAAAGAAACTTAACTGACTGAGCCACCCAGGCACCCCTTCCATCTCAATTCTTAAAGAAGGACTCTGATTTGACTATTTGGGTCATATGCCCACCCCTTGTACCAATCAATACTGGGTCTAGGGTGATGCATTACTATTTTTTCCCTCTGCCCCCTATTGTGGCCACAAGAGGTAAAATTGTGTAATTGGCAGTCACTAGCAATAAAAAGGATAAGAAGATGTACCCCATAGGAGACAGAGGTGAGGATGATGCCAAAAAACTTAGATGAAAAGATACTGAAGGAACAAAAATCAATAGATATCCACTAAATACATTTACTAACTCTGTACTATACTATACAATCAGTGGATGTGGTAGGCAAAATAATGGCCCCCCCAAAGATGTGTTAAAAGATAAACTCAGGCTTGTTAAAAATTTTTAAGAGTTTATTTGAACAAAAAAATCGATTCCTATCAGGCAGTGCCAAACCAGAAATGGTAGGAACACTCCACTGACAGGAGCTCAAGAAGAGATTTCATAGAGAAATGGTGGAAACAAAGTAAGGAAGATATT